TTCAATGTGGTGAGTATGCCTTGTCCAGGTTCTGCAAAGAAAACTAAAGATTCCGAATAAGGATCAAATGGTCAAAGGACAGATGATACAGGCTCCCTGCAACTACAGAGGAGACAAAGGTAGTATGCTTCACAGATTAATAAAATGCAAATAATTACAAGAACTGAATTCTGTGATTGGCAGTTGGTAGTTCAAGGAAGAGTGAAATAAAATGTAACATGTAAAACTATAAAAACTCTTCTCACACGTCTTTGGAGTCCATTTTCAAATAATGAGGAATTTTGTTCACGGGAATTTCTGCTTTTTGCTTGCAGTTGGCCTTGGGCAGACAAGGCTGAAGCAACTTGAAATATCAATCACCAAAGCAAGAGATGAGTGCCCACATACGTTGTAAGGTGACCACTGAGGCATTTGGCGAAGTACCAGCAGAAACCAGATCAGAGTATAGAATATTTAATATATTCTATTTAATATGTTCTAATACTGGTACCTTCAGTAACAGGGATCTCTTACCACATAACTGTCATGCATGCAGTTTACCTACAGTTCCAGAAGTAATGGCAACACAGTCCTCCATTTCTCCCAAGGGTCAGGTTGTGCTGTTAAGTGCAAAGGTACTGTGGAAAGCAGAATGGGTCTCTCAGGGCCGTGTCCACACCTTCTCATGGACAAACTCAGGATCTCGTGCCCACACCCTGTCCATTGTGATTCCTGATGGGGGGGGTGGGTCCACAGTGGGGGGCACCGTAAGGGCCTGAGTCTCAACAGAGCCTCACCCCTCACCTAAGGCGAGCACAGGAGCTAAGGTAAGAAGGCCACTGAAGGGAAGATAAAGATTCAGAAAGCATGAACCCTTCCCAGAAAGAAGAGCAAGATAAGATGGAATTAGCTTCTCCTGATATCTGTGCTAAAAGCTTTACACAGGTTATTTCACTGAATGCTCAAAGGGGCAGTGCAGAATCGGGATGAAGAGGCTGCACAGGGCTGATCTCAGGAGATGGAGCCACTTTGACTCACCAACAGACCCTGGGATATTTATGGGCATGTAAACCTAGTGACACACAGCAGCGATGAGCAGGAGGGAAAGGGGCTCCTTCTCTGTGTGACTTGGACATGACAAAACACTACACAGCCATTAAAAACGTGTTTTAAGGACTTATAAGTAAAATTGAAAATAGTCACATTTGAGTAAGGAAAATGTAGAGCACAGAATTGGTTTACATATTAAGCTCTCAAATACATAAATGTACATGTTGACAGAAGCAACAATTGGAAACAAATTTTCCAAAGTTTAAAGAGTGGATGACCCTGGGAGAGTAAGTGGTTTTAAGTTCTTTTTGGTACTTTTACATATTTTATACATTTTAGCAGAAAGCTTTATTACTTTGAAAGATATGTATGCATAATAGAGCAATGTTTTGACAACTATTGTTGTCCTAACAACTATTGTCCTAACTAGGACAACTGAAGGGTATCTGCATTGAGAGGTCACCTGACAGGAGGTGTGGGGTGTCTTGGTTTGGGTCTCCTAGAGGTGTGCCTCAGGATTTGAGTAGAAGCAATTTATTTGGGAGGTGAAGGACCAGCCGGGAGGTGAGGAAATGACACAAGGAAAGGAAGGCTGATCAGGGTGTCTTAGTAACCAGCTACTAAGTGAACAACTGCAGCAAAATAGGGATTCACAGAGTGATAAATTAAGTAATTAATTTCTTGTTCCGCTTCTCTTAGGAGCTGAGAGACCAGCCGTCTAAAATGAATAAAATCTGAAGCACCCTAAATGGTCTGATAGTCATTGTGGTGGTGAACCAGGGAACCCAGCTAAGAGAACACCACAAGGAACTCATTGTAGAAGAGAAAAATGTTCATAGTGTCATGTTCAGGAATAAAGACAGAGCATAAAACTGAATATGCAATGTTAGTACACCTCTGGGAAACATTTAAAAATGAACAGAAATTAATCTCTAAGGGAGAACCCCAAACTGTTATAAGTAGTTGTCTGAGTATGCATTCATTTTATAATAGGCCCTAACAATGGCTTTTGTTTTTAAGTTATAAAGGTATTCCAAAGACACAGCATCTCTACAGGTCCTATTTAATGGTAAGGTTAAAAAATCAGGGACTCTTAAGTTTCCTTTGGCAAGGGTATCTAAACTATAAAGCCGGGTCATCCGTCAGCAGGCTCTCCCCTGAGTCTGCATCCCCACTTGCCTGATGAAGCGTAGAGATGAGCAATAACATTAGGACAAAGTTACCCATCAGGCAGGTCACATGCACACTTCAGGCTTGCTCTCTCTCCCTCTCCCCCCTCCTTCTCTTCCTCTGTCTCTCGCTGTTTTGGACCAATAAAAGACTTCAGTCCTTTAACAGGACAATGGCTTCTTTACAGTAATATAATCAGATGGTAACAACCACACAGTATAAGAAAAATCTGCTGATCAATTGGGTTAGCAGACCCATTTCTGCAGGATGTTTGGGGAAATGATGTGGATCCCTTTCCCAGCAGGGTCTTGGGTGTGTGCTCACAGTGTCACTTCCTCTTACTAAATCAGCTCTCAGATTTGCTCTGCTGCCACCCGGCTGTTCTACCATCTCTCCTGACAAGTGCCAGCAGAATGCTTCTCCTGCCACTGGTCATCCTGGCTGCCTCCCTTTGGACTTGTGAGTGGCTTTATGGCTTTACCCATGGATAGGAGTTTGCAGGGAGGTGGGAGAAGGCATGGACAGTCAAATCAGCCCATTCAGTGGAAGAAAACCACACTGCCATTCAAGCTAAGCTGACAAATTCCACCATACCCTTGAATTCTTCAGGAATAAAGTGTAATCTTCAGAGCCCAAGCTTCTCTTCAATACAGAGCCTATGTATATTTACTATGTTAATGAAAGTCAATATTTTACTAAATTTTGCTTTTGTTTTTCTTTCAGATATAGGTGGAGACATTCTAATAACACAACTCAGAACATCCATTACCAAGAAAAAAGGAAATACGGCATTTCTTGAATGCCAAATAAAAACAGATACCTTAAAGAAGAATGTATATGTACACTGGTACAGACAGAAGCCCGACCAGCCTATAAAACGTATCTTGTATATTTCCTCAAATGAAAATGTGGTCCATGAGCAAGGTTTTAGCGAGGAAAGATACGAAGCACGGAAGCCGCAGGATGACCTGCCTGCGAGCCTCAGGATACACCAAGTGAAGGAGGCTGACGCAGGGCTGTATTACTGCGCCTGCTGGGACACACGGTGCGCAATGCTCCCCTGTCACTGAACAAAAACCCTGCCGCGCCCTGTGCACGCTCAGCCTCTTCGCTCCTCCCTCCCGAGGGGCCTGGCTACTGGCCACAGGGGGCATTCCTCCTGCACGTGCGTCCTGACCGAGCTCTGAGCTAGGAGACCAAAGCCCCAGTCTGTGGCGCATCTCAGGTCACTTTATCACCTATCTTTATCTTCACGGGGCTCAGCTTGGCTTTGCAAATGTCCCGAATCATCTTTGCCTCTGTCCATGGGTAGCCTCTTGGGAAGGAAGCCATAATCCAGGGCTCAAAACACTTTGTTGACTTTGAATGAACAAATGAAAGATGAAAGATAAGAGTGCCACAGACCTGGGTTTCAAATTCCTGCTCAGCTAGTACCTGACAGCTTGATCTAGGGAAGTTATTAAATCTTTTTTGTTCTGTTTTCCCAGTTTTAAGTGGGCACAAGCTGCTGGGACTGGGTAAGGTTTCGTGCATGAGAGCTTGTGTTCAACAAGTCACAGCACCCTTTACCATGATAACTGAACCGCCTCACTGAGCCACCCCAGCTAACCTAAGATCTCAGGGATGCTTTCAAATCCCAACTTGCAGTGTCCTCCAAACAACAGTAAAGCGTTCCTTTAATCCTGAAAAACTAAGAACTCTTAATAGGAAAAGAGTGGAGGGTAATAAATTAAGGGGATTATTTTTTCTCTAACATTTTTCTTCATTCACAGCAGAGACTAGTAACATCATAGTACCTAGAGCATAATTATGGTAATTGTTAATATTTACCAAACTTTGTGAACTTCCCACAAACTACTCATCTATAAAATGTTCATAGTTCTGCATCAGGTTTTGGGATTATTATTAAACAATAATAATATTTTTCTTCCAATTCTCATGATAATCATATAGCTATCCACACTCTTGCAAAATAGGATGAAAAATCTATAATTCAGGGAGTGAAAAAGAGCTCAAGGAGAGGGATATTTGAATCAACACTGAAAGGAAAAATGGGAGAGAGCCGCTCCAAAGGGCAGGTTAGCATTGAATGATTGTAACAGGGGTTTCAGTGAGGTCTTCCCAGGTCTGACAAATCTTCNTCCTGATAATAATTTCATAGAAGATGTGGACATTTACTACTGTGCTGGATGGTACCTGCAGTCCTAGAACTGTCTAGACAACTCACAAAGATCCCTCCTTGGGTCTAGGCCATTCCACATCCTGCCAGGTAGTGATGACTATAACCAGCTACCTGCTGAGCTCCTGGCCTCAGCTTCCCCAACTCTGCAGCCCTTCAGAGCTTCATAGGGAGCTGTGCTAGATTATGTTTGCACTTTCGCTTCTGGCTGACCCCAGGATTTGTGCTTCCACAGCTTTATTTGACACTATTTACCAATGAAGGAAAATTTTGTCTGAGGACTGAGAGCCCCAGGGATGCCACTGTCCCTCGTCTCACCATACAGAGACTTCCAGTAAGGGAGCAAGGTTCAGGCTGACAGAAGGTCTTACTGTGTACCATTATCATGGCATACACTCAAGGCGACCCCTCTGCAATATAACTATTATCAGTCCATAGTACAACTAAAGAAATTACAGTTTAAAGAATTTAAGTTTAATGATCAGCCAAAGGCAGTAAGTGCATGCTTTTTGACAGGACTCTGAGCCCATGATGAGAAGTGTAAGGACTACAATTCTTTATGGGAACACTGGGGTATCTGGGGTAAATTAGGGTTGGAACAAAGCTGGTTTTCTGCAAGTGTGGGGAGGTTTCTGCCAGCGGGTTATCATCAGGTCGGAGCTCCTCATTCGTTGGGGCTGTGAGAGGAGCCTACCATGGGTAGCCCTTGTTTCTGCACGTGAGGGAAGAGAGAGAACCTGCCAAGACCCAGGGGCCAACATCTGTGTGTGTGTCCCTGCTCTCAAGTCTTTGCACACATCACCTCCTCAGCCCACACCAGCTATAAGGCCTGTTCTGTTATTCTCATCAAGCACGTCTGACTCTGGAGCTAAGAGAGGGACTCAGTGGTGCAAGCACTTGTCTAAGTCCCATGGCGGGCATGTGGCTAGCTGGCAAAGCAGGGCAAGGCCCTGGATAATCTGTGTGCTTTGGACTATTGCTCTAAACCACTTCTTACGTGGGACAATGAAAGGAATAGTGCATTGTCTCCATCCCATACTGGGGCAGAACTGACACGAGTCATTACTATCTGCTGAAGCCTGGGGACAGGACTTGAGTGATCAGGTACTTTCACAGAATAAGTAAAACCCCAATAAATTTTAAATTGATATTCTGTATAAAACAGCAAAGATCTTTATTTTGTGTTTCTAATAGTAGTATCTGCAGTAAACTTTTTATGTTTCCTATATGGTCACTTTAATTAAAAATTCCTCAAATAACATCAATGTATGTACTCTCTCTCACTCCCATTTTATGGATGTACAGTGCAATGTTCATTCTGCAGATATACTGAAGGGAGAGAAGAGGGATTTGCAGGCCAGGCAGACAAAAGAGATGGACTTGGACACATGATCCTTCAGCCCTTCTTTCAGACCACTGGGGGGCTCATAGTTTTTGACTGACATTTTGACCTACACTGTTTATGAACATGACTATTTCTTAGAGGGGAGACCACTGCCTTCTTGAGCCTGAACAGAACCTTCCTTCATCCCTATATTTATTATGAAAATTAGAGACAAGAACCTGAGGGGAACACAATCTAAGGTAAGAAGATGAACCCCTTACAAAAAGAATGCCTAGAAAGTGTGGATTAAGCTTCTCAAAATACCTTTGCTCAATGCATTTTCTCATGAAATGTACAAAAGAGCACTGGACCTTATAACACAGTATCTTCAAAGGAACAAGTGCCTGGAGACTAAAATTATATCAGCTTTTTAATATTAGCTGTAGAAAACAGTGACAAATTCGATGATGAATTATGTTCCTTTCAGTGGTAGAATATTATAAAGCCATTGAAAATGTACTTTTGTATTTATTAATCCAAGTGAAAATCTCTACATTCAAATATAAAAAAATACAAATACAAATGAGTATATATTATATCTCAACCATGTAAATGTCCATATGGCAGAAGAAATAAAATGAAAGGAACTATTGGAGTTTCAGATGGGTTTGTTTCCCTCCTTAGGGTGGATGCTTTTCTTTTCTTTCTATGCTTTTCCAATAAGGGACCACAATTTTTATAATTAAAATATTATTTACAAAGGCAATTTTCTCCTGTTTTTCAATAAGAACAAAACTACAACTTAAAAACATTATGAAGGCCATATTATTGCCAGGCACATAGTAGACTTTATGTTCATTAACATGTTTGATCATTAAAAAGGCCTGCAATAAGTTTATCATAAAAAGCGGATATAAAGCCAAATATGCAAATACCACTTAAAAATTATATTTATATATATATACACAAAACTTTATATATATATATATAAATACCAAGCAATCCTATTTCCAGCTATAATATGTAGAGAAAAATTCAAAATAAAAGCAAATGATGGGTGCCTTTTATTCTTGGTTTTCTTTAACAAGCAACTATTAAATCCAGTTTCTCTTATTTACTAGTTCTGTGTCTGTTTGTCAAATGGAAATAATCATTAACAGTTACCTCGACTGTTGAAAGGATTAAATAATGTCAGAAAACATTTAGGATAATGCCTGACAAAGAGCAAGCCCTCAATGGCTAATGGATATGCTCTTCAATTTAAAGCTTACCATTACATATTAAACATAATACGGCTTTGAAAATATTCCTGCATGTGGCATAATGTTCATGAGAGTTCCGAGGTCCAGGGGGAATAGGAGCCCATTTCCAGAGACTGTTCTGATTCATACTGTCTGCCAGCAGTTGCAGCCTAGTGCCTTCCTGGAGGCACCCAGAGTATAAAAGAAACTTGAATTCTCTGAGTCATAATCTGCATGCTGACATCTGAATTGATTGTAAAAGGCAGAGAATCACTCCAGTGTTTGTGATAAGGCATATTAAGTAATGTCAATGAGATATTTCAGTGTCTGATTTTTGTTTTGTTATATTGTTTCACAGAAAAGTAAAGGTCAGTTTTCATACCTGAGTCCGGAATCAGCAGCAAATCACAGGAAGATAGAGATAGAAGCTGAACACAGAAGGTATGTCTTCATATTTCTGAAGCCATGTGTCTACATTGTGGAATTTTCAGGGGCAATGGCTGAGAGGATGTGAGAACACTCCCTGCCCCACCACACAGACCAGGGATTCCTTTCCAGGCCCTGAACCCCCTTACCTGGTCTCTCCAGCAGCCATGGGACAGGAAAGCCCAGAACTGCTCATTGCTGTGGCAGATCATGACATGAAGAGCCCCGGGCACCTATAAGCCATCTCTTCTTCTGAGAAACCGGAACCAGCCCCACCCTCCCGCCTCTGGCCTGAGACCTCCTGCTCCCAGAGACTTCACTCTCTCACCTTCTCCTGGGAAGCCAGCAGGGCCATCGAGATGCCTCTACTGCAAGCAGTCATCTTCTCCTCCTTCTGGGCTTGTGAGTTGCCCTACAATCATTTCAGTCCACAGGAGAGGCTGGAAAAAGTCTTTATTGTTGCCTCTTTAGACATCATTTGTTCATGGGAATTTCTCCTCTTTGCTTGCAGTTGGCCTGGGGCAGACAAAGCCGAAGCAACTTGAAATATCAGTCACCAGAGCAAGAGATAAGAGTGCCCACATACATTGTAAGGTGACCATTGAGGCGTTTGGCGAAGAAATGATACACTGGTACCGGCAGAAACCAGATCAGAGTATAGAATATTTAATATATGTCTCAGGAACCTTCAACAGCGGTTCCTTAGGTGGGAAGAACAACAAATTAGAGGCAAGCAAAAATCTTGCTGCATTCACTTCTACCTTGAAAGTAAATTTCTTAGAAAAAGAAGACGAAGCGGTGTACTACTGTGCCTTCTGGACAGACACAGTGTTAAAGTTGCCAGGATCAGCTACACAAGAACCATCTCCAGGTCTGTGCCTACCCACATCCTTCCCACATGGTGACCACAGAGGCTGCACAGCTGGGTGCCCAGTCTGAGCCTCTCTCCCTGTGCTGTTTCCTGAACTCAGCAGGAAGACATCTTCGATTCTGCTTGCACAGTCAACCCCATGGATATCAGCAATTACGATCCAAATTAAAGCAAGCTGACACTATTTCCTACCAAATCAGGCTGTCTGGAAACTATGAAAGTAAAGGCTGAATGGTTAGAACAAGACCCATTTGTTAATTCACTGTAGAGACAGAGATATCTGGTAACTGAATGGTTCCGAACGGAGTCAGGAAAGGGGCATACACAGTACATAGATATTTTCTGTTGTAATTATTTTCTGATTTTATTCATGAGCACTGGAAGTATTCAGACGTAGAATGATCTGTCAAACATAAAAACTTCATGCCTTTTATTAGTGTCCTGAGGCCATCCTAAGTCTAGTGACCATTAAATGCCTAAGTTAACAATTAGCTTTTGGGCTATGGGAGAGACTAAAGTACAATCCTGAACCCTAGGGGAAGAAGCTACACCTCACTCCACACTCAGGGCTCAGTGCTGGGCAGGACAAGTAGCTCCAGGGGACAGACCCTTGGGGATAGCAGGTGATTCAATGTGGTGAGTATGCCTTGTCCAGGTTCTGCAAAGAAAACTAAAGATTCCGAATAAGGATCAAATGGTCAAAGGACAGATGATACAGGCTCCCTGCAACTACAGAGGAGACAAAGGTAGTATGCTTCACAGATTAATAAAATGCAAATAATTACAAGAACTGAATTCTGTGATTGGCAGTTGGTAGTTCAAGGAAGAGTGAAATAAAATGTAACATGTAAAACTATAAAAACTCTTCTCACACGTCTTTGGAGTCCATTTTCAAATAATGAGGAATTTTGTTCACGGGAATTTCTGCTTTTTGCTTGCAGTTGGCCTTGGGCAGACAAGGCTGAAGCAACTTGAAATATCAATCACCAAAGCAAGAGATGAGTGCCCACATACGTTGTAAGGTGACCACTGAGGCATTTGGCGAAGTACCAGCAGAAACCAGATCAGAGTATAGAATATTTAATATATTCTATTTAATATGTTCTAATACTGGTACCTTCAGTAACAGGGATCTCTTACCACATAACTGTCATGCATGCAGTTTACCTACAGTTCCAGAAGTAATGGCAACACAGTCCTCCATTTCTCCCAAGGGTCAGGTTGTGCTGTTAAGTGCAAAGGTACTGTGGAAAGCAGAATGGGTCTCTCAGGGCCGTGTCCACACCTTCTCATGGACAAACTCAGGATCTCGTGCCCACACCCTGTCCATTGTGATTCCTGATGGGGGGGGTGGGTCCACAGTGGGGGGCACCGTAAGGGCCTGAGTCTCAACAGAGCCTCACCCCTCACCTAAGGCGAGCACAGGAGCTAAGGTAAGAAGGCCACTGAAGGGAAGATAAAGATTCAGAAAGCATGAACCCTTCCCAGAAAGAAGAGCAAGATAAGATGGAATTAGCTTCTCCTGATATCTGTGCTAAAAGCTTTACACAGGTTATTTCACTGAATGCTCAAAGGGGCAGTGCAGAATCGGGATGAAGAGGCTGCACAGGGCTGATCTCAGGAGATGGAGCCACTTTGACTCACCAACAGACCCTGGGATATTTATGGGCATGTAAACCTAGTGACACACAGCAGCGATGAGCAGGAGGGAAAGGGGCTCCTTCTCTGTGTGACTTGGACATGACAAAACACTACACAGCCATTAAAAACGTGTTTTAAGGACTTATAAGTAAAATTGAAAATAGTCACATTTGAGTAAGGAAAATGTAGAGCACAGAATTGGTTTACATATTAAGCTCTCAAATACATAAATGTACATGTTGACAGAAGCAACAATTGGAAACAAATTTTCCAAAGTTTAAAGAGTGGATGACCCTGGGAGAGTAAGTGGTTTTAAGTTCTTTTTGGTACTTTTACATATTTTATACATTTTAGCAGAAAGCTTTATTACTTTGAAAGATATGTATGCATAATAGAGCAATGTTTTGACAACTATTGTTGTCCTAACAACTATTGTCCTAACTAGGACAACTGAAGGGTATCTGCATTGAGAGGTCACCTGACAGGAGGTGTGGGGTGTCTTGGTTTGGGTCTCCTAGAGGTGTGCCTCAGGATTTGAGTAGAAGCAATTTATTTGGGAGGTGAAGGACCAGCCGGGAGGTGAGGAAATGACACAAGGAAAGGAAGGCTGATCAGGGTGTCTTAGTAACCAGCTACTAAGTGAACAACTGCAGCAAAATAGGGATTCACAGAGTGATAAATTAAGTAATTAATTTCTTGTTCCGCTTCTCTTAGGAGCTGAGAGACCAGCCGTCTAAAATGAATAAAATCTGAAGCACCCTAAATGGTCTGATAGTCATTGTGGTGGTGAACCAGGGAACCCAGCTAAGAGAACACCACAAGGAACTCATTGTAGAAGAGAAAAATGTTCATAGTGTCATGTTCAGGAATAAAGACAGAGCATAAAACTGAATATGCAATGTTAGTACACCTCTGGGAAACATTTAAAAATGAACAGAAATTAATCTCTAAGGGAGAACCCCAAACTGTTATAAGTAGTTGTCTGAGTATGCATTCATTTTATAATAGGCCCTAACAATGGCTTTTGTTTTTAAGTTATAAAGGTATTCCAAAGACACAGCATCTCTACAGGTCCTATTTAATGGTAAGGTTAAAAAATCAGGGACTCTTAAGTTTCCTTTGGCAAGGGTATCTAAACTATAAAGCCGGGTCATCCGTCAGCAGGCTCTCCCCTGAGTCTGCATCCCCACTTGCCTGATGAAGCGTAGAGATGAGCAATAACATTAGGACAAAGTTACCCATCAGGCAGGTCACATGCACACTTCAGGCTTGCTCTCTCTCCCTCTCCCCCCTCCTTCTCTTCCTCTGTCTCTCGCTGTTTTGGACCAATAAAAGACTTCAGTCCTTTAACAGGACAATGGCTTCTTTACAGTAATATAATCAGATGGTAACAACCACACAGTATAAGAAAAATCTGCTGATCAATTGGGTTAGCAGACCCATTTCTGCAGGATGTTTGGGGAAATGATGTGGATCCCTTTCCCAGCAGGGTCTTGGGTGTGTGCTCACAGTGTCACTTCCTCTTACTAAATCAGCTCTCAGATTTGCTCTGCTGCCACCCGGCTGTTCTACCATCTCTCCTGACAAGTGCCAGCAGAATGCTTCTCCTGCCACTGGTCATCCTGGCTGCCTCCCTTTGGACTTGTGAGTGGCTTTATGGCTTTACCCATGGATAGGAGTTTGCAGGGAGGTGGGAGAAGGCATGGACAGTCAAATCAGCCCATTCAGTGGAAGAAAACCACACTGCCATTCAAGCTAAGCTGACAAATTCCACCATACCCTTGAATTCTTCAGGAATAAAGTGTAATCTTCAGAGCCCAAGCTTCTCTTCAATACAGAGCCTATGTATATTTACTATGTTAATGAAAGTCAATATTTTACTAAATTTTGCTTTTGTTTTTCTTTCAGATATAGGTGGAGACATTCTAATAACACAACTCAGAACATCCATTACCAAGAAAAAAGGAAATACGGCATTTCTTGAATGCCAAATAAAAACAGATACCTTAAAGAAGAATGTATATGTACACTGGTACAGACAGAAGCCCGACCAGCCTATAAAACGTATCTTGTATATTTCCTCAAATGAAAATGTGGTCCATGAGCAAGGTTTTAGCGAGGAAAGATACGAAGCACGGAAGCCGCAGGATGACCTGCCTGCGAGCCTCAGGATACACCAAGTGAAGGAGGCTGACGCAGGGCTGTATTACTGCGCCTGCTGGGACACACGGTGCGCAATGCTCCCCTGTCACTGAACAAAAACCCTGCCGCGCCCTGTGCACGCTCAGCCTCTTCGCTCCTCCCTCCCGAGGGGCCTGGCTACTGGCCACAGGGGGCATTCCTCCTGCACGTGCGTCCTGACCGAGCTCTGAGCTAGGAGACCAAAGCCCCAGTCTGTGGCGCATCTCAGGTCACTTTATCACCTATCTTTATCTTCACGGGGCTCAGCTTGGCTTTGCAAATGTCCCGAATCATCTTTGCCTCTGTCCATGGGTAGCCTCTTGGGAAGGAAGCCATAATCCAGGGCTCAAAACACTTTGTTGACTTTGAATGAACAAATGAAAGATGAAAGATAAGAGTGCCACAGACCTGGGTTTCAAATTCCTGCTCAGCTAGTACCTGACAGCTTGATCTAGGGAAGTTATTAAATCTTTTTTGTTCTGTTTTCCCAGTTTTAAGTGGGCACAAGCTGCTGGGACTGGGTAAGGTTTCGTGCATGAGAGCTTGTGTTCAACAAGTCACAGCACCCTTTACCATGATAACTGAACCGCCTCACTGAGCCACCCCAGCTAACCTAAGATCTCAGGGATGCTTTCAAATCCCAACTTGCAGTGTCCTCCAAACAACAGTAAAGCGTTCCTTTAATCCTGAAAAACTAAGAACTCTTAATAGGAAAAGAGTGGAGGGTAATAAATTAAGGGGATTATTTTTTCTCTAACATTTTTCTTCATTCACAGCAGAGACTAGTAACATCATAGTACCTAGAGCATAATTATGGTAATTGTTAATATTTACCAAACTTTGTGAACTTCCCACAAACTACTCATCTATAAAATGTTCATAGTTCTGCATCAGGTTTTGGGATTATTATTAAACAATAATAATATTTTTCTTCCAATTCTCATGATAATCATATAGCTATCCACACTCTTGCAAAATAGGATGAAAAATCTATAATTCAGGGAGTGAAAAAGAGCTCAAGGAGAGGGATATTTGAATCAACACTGAAAGGAAAAATGGGAGAGAGCCGCTCCAAAGGGCAGGTTAGCATTGAATGATTGTAACAGGGGTTTCAGTGAGGTCTTCCCAGGTCTGACAAATCTTCTGTCTCTTAGGAACATGATAAAATAACACTGCAACAGATCTTACTGAGAAGGACTTTCATCGGTTCTACAGCAAACCTCCCTCCCCATTCCCTGCCTCTGAAAAACACAGGCTGCCTCTGCTTCCCTGGCCCTGAGTCACGCTGGCTCTTGGTGTCCATTCTGAGTAGTCACTAGCAGGGCCAAACCCGTGGATTCTCCTTGTGTCTTCAGCTTGGGGCTTGTAGGTTCACTTTTCTCCTTTCTTGTCTTTTCACTGTTTTTGTGGCCAGCCTCAACCTTTTTAAGTGGCTGATTTCTCTCCCTTGCTTTTCAGATGGAGATATCAACCTGAGAATGTCTCAGGATCAACTCTCCATTACCCAGACACCAAACAAAACAGTACAGATAAATTGCTGTCTGAGTTCCCCTCAAGAGTGCCATTGTACGAACAGAAAGGGGGGAGCACCTGAAACCAGTCCTATATGGCCTAAACAAGAATTACAAGCAAAACAAGCTCAATTCTCACTTGGCAACAGATAAGAAAGACAATGGACCTTTTACCTGATCACCAATAAGGTCACCAAGTCCGATGAAGCCACCTACTACTGGGTCTGCTGGGATCTCACAATGTCACAGTCAGAAGGGACCTGTAAGAAAACATTTTCTATTACTCTCGACTCCTTTCCTCCTCGAGCAAACACTCTTTCATGCTCATAAGCTGCTGGACCAGGAGAGCCCTTTGGACACAGTTACTCCAATGCCCACCCTTCAGATGGGGAAGCCGGGGCCCAGAGATGGCAACTGACTTTGTCCAAAGCTAGTTAACCACAGAAGCAGGCTATACCTGCGTTTCAGATTCTCAGTCCAGTGCCCTTTCCTGCCTCTCTTGTGGTCAGTGATGAACTTCTTTTAGCAAAATTGCTTCTCTCTCAAAAGGAAACCGTGACAACTATACCTTGTCTTCCTAAGTGATGGCCTCAAAACCTAAGAGGGTCTGGTATGTGGGCAAAAATATGTGAGTGCCACACTGTTGAGAAGGGATAACAGGGGACAGGCTCTCAGCTCCACTTACCTCCACGTTGTCTTCCACGGCTACTTACTCCTTCTTTACTGTACTTTCCTATCTGTCATGAAGTTCCAGCAGTTGCAGTAGTTTTCCTGGCAAACATATGGGGATGTGGGAGATGGAGTTACAGAAGAACCTACTGAACTAAGGCCCCAGTTCCCTGCTGTTCACCCTGAAACCTGGGCCAGTTCTAACGGATGGTCATTCACTTGGCTCCAAATTAGGCAGCCCTGACCTGCTTTTCTGCTTTGTTAGAGTGACTCAGGACTTTTTCATGTTCAAAGTTTTATCAGCAGCACCTTGAAAATAACAACAGTAATAACATCTGTACCATTACACTACAGCTAAATACCTCTGTTCTCGGATATCTAATAAGCAGCCAGAACAAAAAATTTGATTCTAATCCCACCACGTCACCCCAATCCCCAGTTTATATTATTTTTCTTCCCAAATGTCCCATGCCAGTAAAGAGCAAGGTGGGTTGTATCATTTAACACAATGACAAAAATGTTTTGTCAAGCAGATGGTATTTTCTTGACCTTCCACATCTTTTGCTGCATCTGATAATGAGAGAAAAAGAGATGAGGAAGCATGATTCTTTAGGATTTTCACCCCACCCACTATGCTGTGAGATCTGAGAGAAGGAGACAGAAGACCCTGCGAACTGTGGTTTCATCTGCCAGAAAGTAAACCACAGTGCAGACCAAACCCATGGGACTAGAGTTGGATGTCAAAACAGAGTCCTCAACCAAAATTCTTAGATCCAGTGCAAAGATCTCATACTCTTATCTCTCCAATTTAATGCAAGTTTAGAACTATTTTGCAACTTACATGTGCAGTTTAATCACAAGCTCATGACAGAAATAACCACTTACTCCAAACAATAATTCTATTTCTGAATTTAAGGCTCAAATGCTCCCATGGGCACGTTAATCTCCTAGAGTAACTCAAGGACAAGCGGAGAGATGCTAAACTGTGAGCTTTAGTTGGATATCTGGATTAAACGACACCCAGATTCTTTTGTTTATATTACCTGCTCAACGCTTTTTAGAAAATGCAGACCAACCATTTCACCTATGTTTTATTTAGCTTGATATTTCCTGTGATTCTGAGAAAGCAATCAATATCTCATACTTGACTATTTGAGATATGAATCTTCTAAACTTAAGAGCTGAAAACTATGCCCCTTCCACACGTATCTTTCCAAATCCACCCAAGAAATGTGAAGTAGTTGGAAGAACAGGGTTTGGGATATTATGAACTTGAACTCACATCCCTGTTCAGTTTGAACTTCCTAATTCTCAGATTCCCCCTGTGCCTTTTAATGGCGATAACCATTTCATAGGTGAAACTGAGTAGAGGTAAGTGTATAGATGGTGTGTAATTCATAGCAGACCCCATCTTTATGAACTGCTTTCCCTTTCACCACCAGAGAACACAAAGCCATGGCTTGTGACCTTAAAGTACAGAGAAAGGAAGTAGAGAGGACATTTGGAGCTAAGGTAAAGTGTTTATTCCCCCAAAAAAGATTCTCCCACATGCAAATGCCTTTCAAACAAACACTTTTTGTTTGCAGAAAAAGAGACAAGTGCTTCACCAACCATGTTTGTCTTATAAATTAATAAGTATCTGAAATGCAGAGTGACATGTTAAGTACCCAAAGTACAGAAGAAGCTCTGTGAGACTAGATGACTATCAAGTTCAGAATGAAAACAGATGGTAAAATGGCTAATGAAAAACTGTTTGCAAGTGAAATAAAGTGACCTCTCCACCAACCTGAGTTAATGAGTTTATGGATAAGTAAACTCAGTACTTTCTCATGATCCAATGCACTATATAGAACCCCACCTGACGTCATCTAAGCGATGGAGGAAATCAACATTAGATCACACTCTGGAAACTAGTGTCTGACAGATACGTATGTGATTTTAACTCTTGTACATGTCAGATAATAAGTTCATTTTCCTGTAAGACAGCCTTCTGGCCATCTTTCTTATTAGAAGTCTCTGTCACTTACTCATGTATCAGATTTAATTAAAAGCCATCAAAATTTGCAGATGATAAACCAAGATGAAAAGGATGCAAAAGTGATTTGATTTTTGTTTCCAGCTGGCAACCAAATCCTTAATGAAACATGAGATGTTTCTTCGAAGCTTCTGATGGTATACCAAATTTGGTTGACACTGGGTCAACTAGGAAATCATCTTCAAACCTGAAGAAGTGATACAAAATATCAAGCAGTTCAGCTGAAACTTGTGCTTTGCTTAACATCCTGTTCTTTATATATTCACTCATTCATCCCTCCCCTTGTTTGCTGTGGGACCTAAGTTGCCTCAGTTGGTCATCTCAGAATATGATCTGTGAGGTGTGCACATGTATGTTATGAAAAGCAGGGTGAGAAGCAAAATTATTGATTTTTGTACAAGAGACTAAGATGTTTCCATTCTTTCTTAGAAAGTAAATTCCCTGTGCCTGAATTTCTGCAACATCTATTCTGGACACACTATCTCATTTGAACCCTAGAAAAGTCCTGAGAAATAGATATTATCATCTCCCTTTTAAAGATGAGGACATTGAGGCTCTGAGAAGTGCCCAAGGACACATCACCAAGAGTGGAAGAATTGGAATTTGAACCAGACTTTGGATTTTAAAATGTCTTTTCCTTTCTTTTCACCCTCCACAATGGTCATTTGACTTACTCATGTGAATCCTTTTAAAGCTCTAGTAAACCTGTTAGTATGTCCTGGACTAGTCCTTCTGTCTGTCCCCACTGTCACTACAGTATTATGGGTCCTTGGATGCCTCTTAGTGGCTTATGGTCACTGTCTTTGAAACATGTATGCTTTCCTGGGATTGTTC